TGCGGCGCTGGGAGTGCAGCAGCACTCCCGCCGCGGGTTCGGATCCTATATAGGGATGGCCTGTGCACTCAAAGCGCTCACTGGCTGAGTGCGGTGCGGCAGGTCTCAAAAAGGACAAAAAAAAAAAGGGTCAATCAGAGCACCTACTTCTTAGAGTATTTAAATGTATTTAAAGTGCTTAAGCCTGTGCTTAGTACTTAGATAGCTATATATAAAAGGTCTGTTCCTGGGAAAACGATTTTTCTTTAAGGAATATTAAAAAAAAAAAAAAGTCTGAGAAGCTCTGACCTGAATATGGCTTTCTTTTTAACTGTTAAAGTTTGTTCCAATGAAACAGTTTGCATAAATTTTATTGTGTATTTGAACTTAATGGAAAGATGAGAATTCATCTGAAGAGAGTTTGAAACTAAGGTATTTTCTTGATTATAAAAGTGGTTTATATTTTCAGGAAGATGATAAAGAAGAAAATTGTTATATTTTACATTCAAGCAATAATGAAGACAAGACTGAATTTTCAGGAACAATTCATGATATAAATTCATCTTTAATACTTGAAGCACCCAAGGTATTTAGTAAATTTATTCCCTATTTGAATGATTTGCTGTGAGCTGAAGTTCCTATAAAGAAGACAAAAGCTTGTCCCTACTCTCTTGGCTAAATAAATACAAATGAAATAATTTCCCCTCTCTTTTTAAACTGATATCATTCCCTTTTAGTGTCCCATTACTTCTCTAAAAGACACAGGCAAGATATAAGATTTTCAAAGAACAAATATACCTTATTTTATGTCACCAATATATTCCTAAAATTTGGGGGGTAAAACATAGTTTTGAAAATAGACCTTCATTTAAAATGCTGTAGTATTGAATACTTTCTAAAGAAAAGAGTTAGCCAAACCTTACTTTATGCTTTATTTTTAGAAAATTTGTTTTAAAGCTTTTTCTTTTTTATTCTTAAAACGAATTATGCTTATATTGCTCTTTGCCGTTAAAATATAGTTTTACTTTATTTCGAACAACTGTCTAGTGATATTCTTTGCATAATGTGTTGACACTGTCTCAAGCTGAATGCATTCCTATGATGTCCATTACATTTTTTAGTGTAGACATTTTTTGTTAAAATTTTCTACCTATGTGTTGTGTTCAAATATATCCTCTAACACAGTTTTTTTTTTTAAAAAAAAGGTTGCAGTATTTTTTTAATAACCAGGTTACTCTATTAATTTAAAAGTGTCACCACAGTGATGTTTAGCTGCTAGGAGGAAACAATGAGAAAGAATAGATTTATTCTAGGAGTTTACATTGGGTAATTATGAAGAGGACTTAAAGTAGGAAATATCCATGATCTCTTAAAAGGAGTTGGGCTTCATTGTGCCCAGCACCCAGAGTTTCACCAGAGTTAGGTCAAAGGCTTAGTAAATCCCTGTATTCATTAGGCATTAGCCAGGAACTCAATCAACTTTCTGCATGTGTGACTATTTGTTTTCAGTGGCATATACTAGCTATTCTTGTTAGTGAAATATAAATTAACTCAAAAGTACATTGTATTCATTCCTTTTTATTATATATTTTCAACACAGGTGAAAAAATATATTTTGATTATATGGTATGTTATAGAAGAGTCATGCTGAAAGTAGTTGACACAAACTCCTCCCCTTCTTTTTTTTTTGTTTTCTGGCTGGCCAGTACCGGGAACCAACCTGTAACCTTGGTGTTACAAGATCGTGCTCTAACTAACTGAGCTAACCAGCCAGACTACTCCCATATTTTTAGATTATAGGGAATATTTTTTGAACATTCAAATAGCCAGTTACTTAAGCTTGAGAATCCCGACCTTTTAAGTCTTTGCTTTCTTAAATAACAATATGATTATATTTATTTAACTACTTTTTATATTAGGTGCATGGGTTAAGTAGTTCAGCAGCTTAACAAAATTCTTATTCTGATGGACAATTTTCAGGTGGTTAATGTATAATGAACCTTTTAGAATAATCATTCACCTTGTCAAGGGCAGATTCCTGCTTCTTATTTTACTGTTTGTCCCTTTTCTGGGTTGAGGGTTGCGTGGAAGTGAGCTTATATTTCTCTTCATGTGTAATGGAGAGCTATTCATGTTGTGTGCTGGCACATAGATAATGCATTGCAGTTCTTGGCATATGAGGTAGTTATTGTTGTCAGCATTTTAATTTTCCAGGTAATGTGTATAGTGCAGTTTTAACACAGGTATAGTTTAACATTTTTTGCAACTTTTATTTACAGGGGTTTAGAGATGAACCGTATTTTAAAGAAGAACTTGCTGATGAACCATTTCTAGATTTGGGAAAGTCTTTCCAGTCTCAACAGAAGGAGGTAGACAACAGCACGGAGGCCTGGGAGATGCATGAATTTCTGACTCCTAGATTGCAGGAAATGGGTGAAGAAAGAGAAATGCTTGTTGATGAAGAATATGAGCTGTATCAAGATCGCTTTCAGTCCATGGAGTTGTACTCCACGTCGCACATTCAAGAGGCCACTCCTGTGCCCTCCGTGGAAGAACTTCACTTTGGTACACAGTGGTTACATGACAGTGAAACTCCCGAGTCTCAAGAAGCAAGATCCATGAGGAGTACATATTCCCAGGAGACACAGCAGTATAGCTGTAGCACCGAAAACCTGGTAAGGGATTCTAACAGATATTCCACATCTTCCCCTCTGCTCTTCTTGCCTATCTCGGTCACTAACTTACATAACTTTAAAAACAAAGAAAATTTGATTGGTCTTTTCATAGTTAATCATTGTTTACAAGATGTACCATACAGTGTGCAGCTAAGTAGAAGCTCACCTTTTCTATATTACACAACTTTTCATGGGAGTCAGTAAGCTGCGGTTGTCTTGCTATTGTAGTGGTTTTCCTGTGTTGCTTTTTCAGTGATGTTTTTCTCCTTATTTCTCATTTCAAGGAAGAGCTCTTTTAACATTTGTGATTTTGTTTTTAATTCCTTCAGGGAAACACAGCTGTTATTTCTCACATCATGTATTTATCATGCAGAATTGATTAAAAATATATTATTGTTTATATCTTGGTCATTCACATTGTTCTCTGTGTTATACATGATACAAAAGCACCGAACTCTAGAAAATTCTTTACATTTGAGATACTATCTATTTATTTGGCAGGAAAGCCAACTGTTATATTTTGATAGGTTTGTTCTTGCTATTAAATTAACAACAAACTTTATTTTTTAATATAATTATAGTTAACCAGTCACCAATTGGAATCTTTCATTAGGGATTTTTTTTTTAATGTTTTATTTTTGTTTGTTTATTTCCTGCTCCAAATTAACTTTTAGGCAAATGAAAAGAAACCTACTATACAAGGATGTTTTTTTAAAAAGGCATCTTAGCAACATGTTCAGATGCAGCGGGGTGCTCCCCTCACAAGGTTGGCAGCTTTGCTATTGTGATATGCGCAGCATGCCTTCAGTTGCTCTTATGGGGCAGATAGAGATGGTTTCTTCCCTTTCCTCTTTTAGCCATTTCCTCCCCTTTTCCCTCCTGAAGTGCTTGTGGGTTCCTTTGCTGGGCAAGGTGCTGTGCTAGCTGCATTTGTGGAGCCCCAGAGGATTCCCCTTAATAGAGAGCTCTGGGTAGTATACCAGAGAACGGATGATTTTGGAATACGCAAGTGATGCCTGGATTTGGGAAGAGGTGATGCAGAATCATCTGGTGCTTTCTATCTTTGCCAGTCCCCTTCCCAAACAGAATATTCAGTTATATGGAGCAAATTGTAGTTAGAGATTACTGAATAATCATAAATACTCACTTGTTATAGCTGTTTTCTTCTATAAGAAGAAAATTTTCTGTTTACTTAAACAAGAGTCAACCTGAAATATCAGTCCATTTTAATATATAGACATTTATGGCTAAAGATGATATTGTCAAATGTATGTTCATAATATTTACTTTATAAGTTTAGTTAAACATATTTTAAAACCCAAAAATGTTAATTTTTTGCCTTTTCTCATGTATAATGATATTTGATTCATATTCTTTCAAATGCATATTTAATGTCAGTATCTACATTATCAGTAGAATCACTTTTTGAACATTTAACACAGCTTTCCAAATATATCATCATCATTTCTATCTAGGTAATTTGTGACACAGCAAGTTTTGAATCCATATTGTCACTCAAAATTTTATCCTTATCTCAAGTACTTATTTGCATAACATTAGGGGTTTTTAAAATCCCTTTTATAAGCTTATACTGATGCTCTTCACAATGTAACCACTTACTCCATTGTTTGTTAAAGTGCTCTTTAAAAGGCTTCTTTTCATCCTAATTACTAAATCTATGTTAAATTTCCAAGCTTCTCTTGTTCTTATTTCCATTACTAATTCATCCATACTCACTTGTTATGGCTGTTTTCTTTTATAAAAAGAAAATTTTCTTTTTACCCAAATAAAAAGCAACCTGAAACATCAGTCTATTTTAATATGTAAAATTTTAAGTCTATAGATGAAATAGTCAAATGTATATTTATAATATTTTCTTTATAAGGTTAGTTAAACATTTGTATTTTAAAACCTGTAAAATGTTAAAATTTTGCCTATTCTCATATTTAATGATATAATTTAAGGTTATAGAGGTAATCTTTATAAACTCTGCAACCCAGTATTGATTAAGATTGTTCTAGCTCTGATGTAACTTGCCTGAACAGTATTTTATTTTCTTTAAATAATTACATGTTCTTGCTTAGAGCATTAAGTCTTTCCTTTCCTTCCACAGTGGTAATAGTTACACCACATGATAAGAATGGGCTGAACCTTTATTTGCCCACTTCCATTACTGATGGATCCCTGCAATGATAATTTATTACCTAATAATAATATCTAATATTGCAAGCCCCAAAAGCATTTGAGAGACACATTCAAATGCCTTACAAATATGTGATTCCCAATACTCTTCTATTTAGAGGGTACCCTCCAGAAGATAGAGGAACATTATTATTTCTATCTTGGTTATAATATCCATGTTGGGCTATATATATATAGCTATATTTGTGGAGTGCACATGGTACTTAACTACTTCAGAGTTTGTCTTTCTCTACCATTCTCATACTCCATTTCAGTTGAAGGGTGAAACCATGAGGGAGTTAATGGATCTGTTTTGTTTTTTGTTTTGTTTTTTTAATTGTGGTAAAATACACATAACACACAGCTTACCATTTTAAGCAATTTTAGGTTGTACAGTCCAGTGGCATTGCATACACTTACATTATTGTGTAAACTTCACCACTATTTGTCTCCAGAACTTTTTATCTCCCACACTGAAACTCCATACCCACTAAACAATAACTGCTCTTTCTCCCCTCTCCCCATCCACTGGCAGCCAACCCCCATCCAATTTTCTGTCTCTAAGAATTTAGCTACACTAAGTACCTTATATAAATGGAATCATACTGTATTAGTCCGTTTCTGTTGCTTATAACAGAATACCAGAAACTGGGAAACTTATAAGAAAACAAAATTTATTGCTTATAGTTCAGAGGCTGGAAAGTCCACAGTCCAGGGGGCACATCTGGTGAGGGCCTTCTTATTGGTGGGAACTCTCTATGGGGTCCCATGGGCAACAGAGTGTCACAGGGTGAGAATGGGCTGAGCAGGAGAGCTAACCTCACTTGTTCTCCTTATTTAGCCATCACAACCACACCCATGAGTGGATTAATCCATTCATGAGGGCACGGTCCTGGTCCTCATGATCCAATCACCTCTCAAAGGCCCTGCCATTCAAATACCATAAATGGATTTCCCACCCTCTTAACACTGTTACAATGGGGATCAAGTTCCCAGTACGTGAACTTTTGGGGAACACATTTAACCCATAGCATGTACCATATTTGTTCTTTTGTGTCTGGTTTATTTCACTTAGCATAATATCTTTAAGGTTCATCCATGTTGTTGTATGTGTAAGAATTTCCTCCCTTTTTAAGGCTGAATAATATTCCCTTGTATGTATATGTCTGGGGAAAAAAACTTTTCCTCTGCCTATTTAGGTTTGTGCCTATGAGAATGTGAATTAAACTGACAAAAGATATTGACAGGAGGGCCAGCCCAGTGGCGCACTTGGAAGCGCGGCAGCGCTCCTGTCCGAGGGTTCGGATCCCACATACAGACCGGCTCCCGCTCAAACAAAGTTTTATTTTGTCAAAGAACAAAATTACAGGAAATTTAAAGATCTCAGTGGTCCTAGTATTTGGCAACACTTTATTCCATAAAACAGAATAAGTGTTCCAATGACCTGAGCCAAAGAGGTTGGCTGTATAGACAGAAAAAGGGCTAAAAAAGCAGAAACAAAGAACAAAAAGTGATCGGTCATTTCAAAGTTACTTTGCTTGTGAGGTGGGAACAGGGAGACAGAACAGTAGAGAAATAACTGCTTATTTAACATCAGGATAGTTCAAGCTATCCTTTTGTGTAAAGATTAAAACAAAGGGAACTTCATTATCATGCCTATTGAAGATTTAAACTGACCTGTTTGAGAAATTGGCTGTTACCTCTCTCTGCTGATTTCTGGAAAGGTCAGAGAACCAGTTGTTTGAGGTTTCGGTTTGATGATGTGGACCTTTTGGCATGAGTGACTCCATTTTGATTTTTAATCTGGTCTATTGGGGCCTAATGCAGAAGCTCAGTCCAAAATAGTGGCCTCCTATAATTTTTATTTAACAATTTGCACGCATGTGAATACAAAAGAAGTAGCTAGCTCCCTAAATGGTTAAAAGTTAGAGGCTTATATACCTAACAGTCAGGAAGATGGGGAGAAAAAGCTTCTATGGGTAGAACAAATAGGTTGGTTTAGGAAAGACAAATGGGTTTTGAGGAGAACAAATGGGAGATAAGAAAGTTTGTGATGATGTTTATTTATGTAGGTGCAAGTGATCTCCATGGCCGCTAAATTCAAGAGGGGATATATGGTAGGCTTACTCTGTCTTCTTCCTGGGACCCACCCAAAAAGGGAATTTATGACAGCCTCATTTCTCAGAAGTTATTGCTTTTAGTCATATAAAAGAAGCTCTGGGAAGACTTCTTTCTGCATCTGTTCAATGTCAAATATCTTTAGCCTAAAATAATCTTCATATCAACTCTGGGATTCTGAGTGGGTCCCCACATTTTGTTTTTCTGTTCATCTGTTGATGGATATTTGGGTTGTTTCCACCTTTGGCCATTGTGAATAATGCTGCTGTGAACATTGGTATATAAATATATGTTCAAGTCCCTGCTTTTAGTTCTATTGGGTATATACCCAGAAGTGGAATTGCTGGATCATATGATAATTCTATATTTAATTTTTGAGGAAACAACATATTGTTTTCCATAATAGCTGCATCATTTTACCAGCAATTGCACAAGGTTTCCAGTTTCTTCACATTCTCACTAACACTTGTTCACTGGGTTTTTTCTTTGTATTTGTCTTTATGAGTGTAAAGTGCTATCTCACTGTGGTTTTCATTTGCATTTTCCTAATGTTTAATGGTGTTGGGCAGCCCTTCATGTGTTTGTTGGTCATCTCTGTATATTCTTTGGAAAAGTGTCTATTCAAGTCCATTGCTCATTTTTTGGAAGATCTGGTTCTTCTTGCTTGAACATTATTTGTCTGAGAATGATTATATATTCTTATTTTCTATTCAGAAAAATACAGCTGAATTCATTTTTTCTAAAGATCTCACCTCTCATACCCATTTTACTGAAATCCCAGATTCTGGTATTAATTCTCTTGTTCTTCAGTTACTATTAACATAATTGCCATTAACTTTCTAAAAAATGTCCAAATAGTAGAGACTAGGAAGGGGAGAGAGGTATGTTAAATTTATGTTTTAAAAAAGATAGCCAGAGCTCTTGCAAAAATTTAAACACCAATGGTTAACATGAACTCCATCTCATCCCCTGGGAAGAATTTGAATTATGGAAGAATCCAAGCTTTCCCAGGTCAAGGTGTCAGGTACTGTTGTGTCTGACATGTATTGAAATACAACTCTACCCCATAAGTATGTACAATCAATATGTTTCTTTAAAATAAAAAAAGCAAATGCATAAATTATCCTTTGTAATTTCTACATATTGAGAAAATGTGGCTGAATAATGATAAAATGTATTCATTTTCATTTCTCCCCACAGGAGAGCAACCTTAGTTTGTATCCAGTTCCTGAGAAGTTGAAATTGATTATATCTCATTAAAAATATTTTTTTTGTTGTTTTTTGTTTTTTGTTTTTTGTCTTTTTTCTGTGTCCGGCAACGGATTGCAACCCTCAGTGTTGCCCCCGCACCGGACCGGGGACCGGCAACGGGATCGCAACCCTCGGTGCCGCCCCCGCGCCCCTCTCAGCCAGTGAGCGGGAACTGGTCTGCATGTGGGATCCGAACCCTCGGACAGGAGCGCCACCGCGCTTCCCAAGCGGCGCACTATCCAGTGTGCCACCGGGCCGGCCCTCCGCGCTTCCCAAGCGGCGCACTATCCAGTGCACCACCGGGCCGGCCCCAGAAAAATATTTTTTTAATCAAAAAGACATTTTTTTAAATGTCCAAATGGTCCAAAATTACTGCAAATTTTCTTCATTTTTAAGTGTTTAATACTTATTGGCACCTCTTTACTCCCTTCTCTAAGAAGTTCTTGCTTATTTTATTCTGGGCAACTAAGTAGTCATATTTCCTTTCTTACCCTTTTTAAATATTTGAGTTGAATTCCATGTTCTTTAGGCTTCATTAAGCATCTGCTATAGTAACATACTTCTCTGTATTCATCATCTCTCTGTAAAAAAAACTAGCAGTATTTGGTGCACCAGTTCATGAGAGATCCTTCTCTTAATATTGAAGTCTGACCAATATAAATTTACAAAAAAAGTAGACCATTGTAAAAGATACCATTCACATTTTGTTTTGAGCAACCAAAATTTCCAACAATAAAGAATAATGTAGTGTTATTCACCTTAACTAAATTACGGCATTTCCGTATGGTGACTATAAAATAGTCATTTAAATTTATGCTTAAGCTTGGCTGTTTAGCTCAGTTGGTTAGAGTGTGGTGTTGATAACACCAAGATCAAGGGTTTGGATTCCCTTACCAGCCAGCCACCAAAAAAATAAATTAAAAAAAAAAATTTCTGCTTGTAAAATTTTTAAAAATATCATAGTAAAATACTTAAGTGAAAATTGTATGTTCTGTATCTTAGTCAATTTGGGCTGCTTTTTGAAAATACCACTAACTAAAAAAAAAAATTTCTGCTTGTAAAATTTTTAAAAATATCATAGTAAAATACTTAGGTGAAAATTGTATGTTCTGTATCTTAGTCAATTTGGGCTGCTTTTTGAAAATACCACTAACTGAGTGGCTTATAAACAACAGAAATTTATTTCTCAGAGTTGTGGAGTCTGGCAAGTCCAAGATCAAGGTGCTAGCAGATTCAGTGTCTGATGAGAGCACATTCCTCATAGATGGAGCCTTTTACCTGTGTCCTCATATGGTGAAGGGTCAAACAAGCTCCCTTGGGCCTGTTTTATAAGAGCATTAATCCCATACATGAGGGCTCTGTCCTTATGACCTAATAACCTCACAAAAGGTCCCATCTCCTAATACCTTCATCTTGGGGGTCAGGATTTCAACATAGGAGTTTTGGGGAAACAAACATTTTAATATTCTGGAAGATTATATCTTTGGAAAGCCACAAAAGATGTGTGGACAAGATGTGTAGCAAGTTATGAATAGTACTTATCTGTGGGTGTTAGACTTGGTTAACTAGATTTTCACCAGGCAGATAAAAATGCCAGGGAAGGCAAAGCAAAGGCTTGGAGATATGAAAATTCACTATGTCTTTTGGTATCAGCAATGCAGCTGTTTAAATTGTGGGCATCAGAGCAACATGATCCAGGAAGGTGTGCGTATCAATAGTCAACCTTGCTTGACTTGATCTTTTATTTCTCTGCCTTGGTAATGTTTCTTTAAATACACTTATTAATGTTTATAAAACAAAATTTTTGTTAAAAATCTAGTGTTTAGAAAAAACAGGTTTTACTAGCCTGTACTCTTGCAGATATTATGTTACCAGCATTTGTTATTGCTTACTACACCATTATTGGGAATGCCTGTTTGCAGAGCCAGTTTTCCACTATTGTTATTATCTGGTTTGAACAACATTACAATGTTCTACATTTTTTCACAAAGTACTAATGCATTTCTATTTTTCTTCCTCTTAAGATGAAAGAAAATTTTGGCCTTGATTCCCTGCCGTCTGTACCCTCAACTAAAGGAAACAGTCAACAAAGCAGATTTGATGATCTGGAAAATCTTAATTCATTAGCAAAAAGCAGTCTGGATTTAGGTTTGTGGTTTTTGTTTCTCATAAACACACATTACATTATTTTGCAATCTTTCAGTTTTATTTTTGTATAGAATGAATGTCCCTGTCACATTTTCATTCATTATGATGTTTTGAATTTAAATCTGCCTGTTAATTAATCTGCTTCAGAGTACCTGAAAGAATAAACATGGCTTATATTTCAACTTAGAATTTTCAGGTCTGTTTTCTGAGGGGGCTACATTTTCTCTGCCTCATTTTGCTTTTTATTAGGATGGATTGAAACAAAAACTAGTATCTTACACTGAATCTGAAAAAAGTCTCTACTGATATATATTAAACTTTGATGCTATTAAGTGATATTGTTAGCTCTTTCAATGGGGCTGTTAAATATTAATAAAGAGAGGCATATTTTAAACATTTATGAAACATTTTTATAGCCATATATTACAGTCACTTTTAGTACATTAATAACTTAGTTTCCATTAAAGTATTCTAAAAGTATGGTGCCTCTCCCTGCCTCCCCCCAATATCGATTTTCATGTACTTTTGAAAACTTGACTTTAAAAAATTATTGTTCTTCATCCAACACTGAAATATCAAATGTCGTTATAATATTAACATCTCTAGGTGAGACTGTTAAGTTATTTCATAGCACTGGGATTTATAGAGCCATTGTTCAGGATTTATGCTGTCCTTCACCTGTTATGACTCTATTTATAGGAAAAGTCCTCTGTGGACGCTTCTCATGTTGTATGGTAATATGTTGGAAGGGAAGAGAGAGAGCTATAGAAAGTATAGCTCAGGATTCTCTTAAGTAAAATCCAAAGATGGGAATTCACAATTCCATTAAGTTCCATTAAAGATTAAATGCATCTGTGAGATGATAACACTTGTCAGTTCCCTCTGGGTCAGCACAGAGCCTGGATAGTTAATTTTGAATATCTAAGATTAGATGAGTCTATCCAATTTTTCGAGATCATGACTAAGAGAAAAATGGGACTTTTTTACCCCTAACCTCTCCAGGAATACTGCTTTTTAAAATTTACCACATTTCTATAGTTCTCAGTCTACTAAATACTTGGAGAAGATTTATGGCACAAATGAGAGAGTAAATGAATAAATAGACCATAACTATTTGATTACCATTGATACTTTATAGCAACCTTGCACTATTTTGGGCCAGATAATTCTTTGTTGGGTTAGGGGAGTGTATTAGTCCATTCCTGTTGCTTGTAACAAAATACCTGCAACTAGGTAATTTGTAAAAACAAAAACAAAACAAAATTTATTGCTTACAGTTTCTTGGGCTGGGAAGTCCAAAGTCCGGGGAGTGCATCTGGTGAGGACCTTCCTTGGTGGTGGCTTCAGTGACACAGGGTATCACATTGCAAGATGAAGGAAGCAGAGAGAGAGAGAGACTTTCATCTGCATATCCTTTTAAAGCCTTCAGAACCACGCCCATGACCTCCATTATTAATCCATTTGTTAGGGCATGGTCCTCAGAATCTAATCATCTCTTCAAGGTCCCACCTTTGAACTGCCATAATAGGATTTCCCACCCTCTAAACAGTTTCACAGTGAGGACCAAGCCTCCCACACATTAAACTTTGGGGAGACACAATTCAATCCATAATAGAGGGTTTGGGAGGATGTGGGGTGGGGAGGGTTATGGGGGTGAGTTGGGTGGCTGCCCTATGCATTGTAGGATGCTTACCAGCTTCCCTGGCCTTTAACTCAAGATGTCAGTGGTACTCTCTCCTAATCATGACTGAAATGTCTCCAGACATTGTCACATGTCCCCTGGGTGTGGTTGGGGCATGTGAGGAAGAAAACTGCCTCTAGTTGAGAACCTTTATACAGTCAGGATTGAAAGGAATAGACTAGATATATGGGGAGAGTGTTAGGGGGAGGGGCAGTGGAGTTGGGAAGGAGATAGGGATAGGGATATTCTTCTTGGGGGATGATCCAGTCCCCCTCTGAGCCCTGCTCAGTGTACCACCTAAGTGACTCCAAAGTTACTTCCTGCTGCCTGTGCTGATTTCCTGTGGATGCTATAACAAATTACTACAAACCTGATGGCTTAAGACAGTAGAAATTTATTCTCTCATTCTTCTGGAGGCCAGAAATCCTGAATCAAGGTGCCATAATCTCTGAAGGCTCTAGGGGAGAATCTGTTCTTTGCCTCTTTCAGCTTCTGGTGGCTTCAGCATTCTTTGGCTTGTGGCTGCAGCACTCCAGTGTCACCTCTTTCTTCACATGGCCTTCTCCCTTCTCCCTGTGTCATCTCTTCTGTTTCTAATAAGGGTAACTGTTATTGGATTTTGGACCTACTTGGGTGATCCACAATGGTCCCACCTCAAGATCTTTAACTTACTTGCATCTGCAAAGACTCTTCCCAAGTAAGGTCACATTCATAGGTTCTGGGACACAAGACATACCTTTTTTTGTTTTTTGGGGGAGGGTACCATTCAACCTACTACATTGCCATAATCTATTATTTTGCAAGGCCCTGGGTATGCGTTCTTAGAGATTATAATATTTTAGGAATGAACTACACTCGTATCTTAGACCTGTCCTCACTAGAAAAGCATTCATAACCACATACTTTTAGGAAAGTTGTTTTGAAAACCTCCAGAATGCAATGTGACAGGCATGAGTATTTAGATTAGTGTTAACCATGGGTGGGCCAAAAAATTACTGATACAGGGTTAAAACACATTTTAGCAGCATATATATTGGGTTAATTCTACTCCAGCAAATGGCAGACCCTGTTTGGTCCCAGGTCCCTCTCTACTAAGCAGTTAACCTGCTGTGTCACCAGACAAGCCCTCAGGCTTCTCCAGGCTTCTCCATTTCCTTAGTTGTAAAGTGAGGGATTTGGTCTAAGTGTTCTCTAAGGCCCCTTTCACATCTGTAGCTCATTGTCCACTCTATTAGTACTAGACTAACTTTATAGAATAATTAATTTAAACTCTCCATTTCCTTAGTTGTAAAGTGAGGGATTTGGTCTAAGTGTTCTCTAAGGCCCCTTTCAAATCTGTAGCTCATTGTCCACTCTATTAGTACTAGACTAACTTTATAGAATAATTAATTTAAAAATCATTTTTGAGAACCTGTGTGTAAAGGGATATTCTTGACTCTGTGGTTAATCCCAAATTATGTATCTTTAAAGAACTTCTACTCTTCATGGGTTTTGAAACTAAACCTATAAATTATCATAATTAATAGTGTAAGGTATACAAGATAAATTCCAAATAAATAGTACATTTAGTATATCGAGATTTCTGAAGATTTCAGACAGAAAGTCATTCTGTTTCCCAGTCTTTGCTGCCTGTCCCTGGATTGGGCCTGCAGTGACCCCTGGATGAATTTCTGTCATTGCCCCTAAGAGTCAGTACACGTACTAATTTGCATCGCTGTCTTTTACTACGCACCGCACCGAGCTTCAGGAGGGCAAGGATTGTTTCTGATTATGTTGCCATAGTAGGTGCTCAAGAATATTTGTTGAAGGAGAAGGTGATATGCAGTCACACATGGTTATTCAACAGCATATTAACTCACTTTTTTTTTTCAGTTGCTAAGTTGCACAATAACTTTCTACTTGGATTCTTCTTGCCTTTATTTTGTTTGCCATTCTGCTGTTGCACCTCACCAAGTATAAACCTTTTGAAAATTTCTCCCATTCCTCTCCTGTAGGCATTAACTTCCATTTATCCAAGGGCTTTTTTTTAAATTTTTTTTTTTAACTTTTCTGTTTTTCTGACCTCTGTGCCCCTGTCATGGCCATTACCTAGCAACTGCAGAGGCCCCGGAGGACTCCATTTGTTTTATGGGCTCTTGGGTGCTATGGTGCACTTAGTGAGAGCTCCGTAAAGTGTGACTTTGTCAAGCACTGTGAGAGGTGAGAAATGTACCTGAGCACCAACAAGGGCTCATGGAGGAGGCAGTGGGGCAAAGGGCACAGCAACCTGTGTGTGGAACAGGCAATTAAAACTTTTAAACAAACTGCAGCAACCTTTGCAACCCAGTGGTGTAATTTAACAGGCTGCTTTTACCAGCATAGCTGGGTGGGGAATAGCTCCGCAAATAGAGCCAGTTCCCTGTTCTCAGAAGTCTGGGTTTAGGGCATGCCTGCTTGAGTCTTTGTCCCACCCCTGGTCCTTCTTTCTCAGGAGGAGGAGGCAGACATAGGCAGAGCTAGAATGAGGGGAGGAGGGGAGGCAGTGCTGTGACTGTCTTGCAGGAACGGAGGCCCTAGTGGATGGGAGTGAAGGGTGCGTGGGGCAGGGGAAAGGCAACTGAGGCTTCGTCTGATACCACCTGAGCATGACAGTTATTTTCATCCCATCTTTGCTGCATTGCCAACTGATTAGACCCTGATTCTGAAGTCTGTAGACAAGATAAAAAGCAGAAGTGATAGTGAGTTTTCTAGAAAATTTGTTCAGGATGAAGAAATGGAAAGAGTTTAGTTGATGCTTATAGGAAAAGTTTTATGAGTATCCATATTGCTTAATCAGAGAACACTTCTGATTTTCTGATAAGCCAAAACTCCAAAATATACTAAAAATGTATAGATTTAAGGAAGGCATTTCATGCACAATTCATCATATTCTCATAAATCTGATAAGAAAGATTGGCTGAAAATTTATAATGGATTACTGGGTGTTACCTAAGAGTAATTAATAGAATTTAGCCAGCATAGGTATAGGTCTCTAACACATGCTACAGAATTCTGCCTGGTTATTCTTTTTAAAGTTAATGGAAAAATGATCCAAAGGAACTCTGATAATCCAGAATAAAGACCTCCATCAAATAAGAGAAAATATTTTTTTTTAAAAAAGG